ATGGATATTTTGGGAAAGTAAACAGGATGGAACGTTCGTATATCCTTGTGCTAAAAGTATGATGTCAGAAACCCTTTGAATGTTTTCAAAATGCAAGGTTCTAAAAGAATAAGGCTCTTTCTCTTTATAACCATGGTCCATGGCTTTAAACTTCACACTGGAGTCTACCTTGCTTTGAATCCTATAAAAAGTGATATATGCATCACTATGTAAAGGAAAAATCAAAGTGAATATAGTTCTATATAAGACAACAGTAAAATAACTTATCATTTAGCAATTTACAAAGCAACCTGGCCTCACTCTTTAGAAATCAGATTTTGTTATCATCAAAGACTGCAAATGTGACAACTGAGAGGAAGATATTATTAAAGGAAAATATCTTAAAGTGAAGCCCATAGTAGTTAGATGATATCATGGCTGAAAACAACAGAATTTAAAATTGGCATCGAGAACAAACAAGTCAGTAAAATTTGAGAATCTCTTGTTAAAATTGTATGAATTTATTGCAGGCACTTGACACACAACTGAGCTGTCTTGCATGTGTTGACTAGAAGTATTTTAGATGGCTTCAGTGCCAATTACTTGAGAATGGGACTGTAACATGCCATGCTCCGTGTGAATTCTGTCTGTGGTTTGCCCCATATATCATTCAGTTGCCATGCTAAACCCTGAGTAGATTGTGAACTTAAAACCCTAAATCTGTCCCTGCAATACCCTTGACCTTTCCACTGTTGACCACTGAGTTCCTATAGCAACCACTGTAGCTATGGTGGCTGTGGATATGCCTGTTTTCTGCCCATATGGGCAAGATACTGGTTCTCTGGCTTCCTTTGGAAAGTCATAGATTGGTAATCTCTTTAGGTCATTTTCCTGTGAGTCATTATATTTTCCTATGTTTCCAAGGTTGTTGTCTCCTCAGACAGTGGCAGTGGAGCCTTCTTAGAGTATCAAGCATCTTCTTCCACTGAAATGATCAATTTAGGGTAACATTTCTTTGATGTTGTTACTAGGTTGTGATTGAGAAACTATTTGGCCAATTTTATCAAAGAAGCTCTCTAAATTTGTATTTTACTGAAGATAATAGCTTCTAGGTATTTCCTATTTTTTCTGTATACTTTAAAAAAAAAGTATGTAGAGTATGGAATTGTTTATATTGTTGTTCTCTGGCAGGTGAAATTGTAGATGTGTTGATCCTAAGCAATATCTACTTTGATTTAATGAAAATCTCATCTTTGACATATGAAATATTTGTCCAAAGACAATCTGAAAACTATTTTTCTGCTTCTGCTTTCTAATTTGTATTTATAACATTTTCTTCTTTTTCATTATTTGATATTTGAATGTACTTTAGTTTGATATTATCTATATTTCCTGTATAGATGTAATTTCCTTCTATAGAGATTTCTACCCTAAATTATATATTACTGCTGTTTTAGTTCATTTGCAGACAACTTGTCCTTGAATGCAGTATACATGATTTTTTTTGTCTGCCATTTTCATCTTTGTCACAAGAAAGTTGGTAATTTCAAGAATCAGATTTCTGCTTGTCTTTGGAAACAGACTTATTGTCTTTTATAAAAAGCAGTGGCTTAATCAGAATAAAATCAGCAGTATATGGTACAAATATTAGTTTTAATCCTGGTAGTCTGGATAATATTTACTAAATCTGTTTACAAAATATGTATTAATTCTCTGTAACATGAAATAACAACAATATCAAGAAATGTAAAATACAAATCAACCACTTACTAAAATGTTAGTGATTGATGTTAGAATTTGGTGTGCCTATAACCTTTGAGTAAGTACACATAATATTAGGAATAAAAATGAACACTCAATGAATTTGGCCAAAATAGCATCTTTTGTCTCTCCCTGCCCCCACTGAACTAGACTTTATTCCCCCTACTTCTGCTTCTCCTGAAGCTGAGATTTCAGATATGAGCTACCACAATGATAAATCACCAATATTTTCAATATGTCAAAGAAAGAAGTGAAAAAATGTTTTCAATACTATTAAAATTACACTTCATACATCGATGAGTTAAACTACTTCAAAATGCAAGAAATTAAATGGTTCCATGCCTGCAGACACACGTTAGGCAAACTACAGAATATTCTTCCACTCAAGGAATAATATTTTAATTCAGCAAAATATTGGTGGCAAATTGATAGAGGGGGAAGACCAATATAAATGGTCATAATCCTACTAAAAACAAGAAGGAAAAGAGAGATTTAAAGAAGAAAATATACAAATAATTTGTCATTTAGAAAAGAGTGAGAATTAAAGCATATATATTAAAGGGACAAATAAGATAAGCAATAGTGAAATGAGAAAAGATAAGAATAAGGACATTATTACTGATATATACACTACAAAGACATTACTGGATAAAATCACCTAAATGTTTTTGTTTTGTTGAAGTATAGAAGTATGAGTCCATATGACAATCACATCATTGTATGCTAATGGTTTAGTTTAATTAATTTATTGAATCAAAACCTCTGTGAATCAGTAAACGTTAATACATATAATTAATATTGATAAATATATTTACCTCATCAACTGTAAAGAAAAAATCTTTTTCCTAGCTCTCAGAAAATTTATAGAAAATTGACTGTACATTGAAGCACAAAGAATGCATTTTTAAAGTAGAAATATGACTAATAAAAATAGCATACTAAGCCAGGCACTGGTGGCTCATGCCTGTAATCCTAGCTACTCAGGAGGCTGAGGTCTGAAGATCATGGTTCAAAGATAGCTCAGGCAGGAAAGTCCGTGAGACTCTTATCTCCAATTAACCACCAGAAAGCAGGAAGTGTGACTCAAGTGGTAGAGTGCTTGCCTTGAGCTGAAGAGCACAGGGTCAGTGCCTAAGCCCAGAGTTCAAGCCCCATGACCAGAAAAAAAAGGCATCCTATTGTCATGAAGCAAAGCCAAAACTGGCTAAGAACAAGAATTGAAAGATACCTGGAGATTCATAAAGGTCTGAATATCTTTATAAATATAACTTGGAAACATAGATATAGTGGTTAATTTCCTAAAGGAATATAAATTTCCCACATTACCATGATAGACTTACAAACTATAAAGACATGCATTTTTTAGAGTCATCAGAGAAAATTACTGAAGCAAGGAACTATAAGTAAGCCTCTTATCTGCAGGATTTTCAAGAATATTCTATCAAATCTTCAAGTACCAAAGAACCCTAATGTCATTCTAATTTCCCCAGAGCATTACAAATGAAGCAAAATTTTCTATTTCCTGTTCTAAGAGATTCCAAGTATTCCTAGGAAGGTGGGCAGACAATTATGGTGCCTCCATGATTCCGGCCTGTGTGGTGAAGAATACCCTTCAATGATCCCCTCCTCTGGAGGATGGAAAAGTCTTGGAACTTGCTTCTAACACATAGAGAATAGCAAACTTGGAAGGCTGTTTGTGTGTGTGTGTGTGTGTGTGTGTGTGTGTGTGTGTGTGTTGATTATGTGTGTGGGATTATGTTTGTGTGGGATTATGTTACATAAAATTAGAATGTTTACATTTATAAGATTTTTTCTTCATTGCTTTGTATGTCCCTCCCCCACGGTATAATTCCTGCTTTCACTGTATTTGATGTTGTTATAATTTGTGGAGGGGAAGGGAAAAAAACAAATCATTTAAATAGGGATACAGGTGTACCCATTGCAACAATGAGACGTACAAGTCATTATGTCGAAAACAAACTTTACAACTTTGGTGGGGGAGGGAGGAGTTTGGGTGGGGGAGGACGGGGTGGGGGAAGATGGGAAGGGATGGGAAGGGGAAACAAAGGAGGAGGCTACAATGCTTGATAAGAAATGTACTCATTATCTTGCCCATGTAATTGTAATCCCTCTGTACAGTATTTTCACAATAAAAAAAAAATTAGAGTGTTTATCTTTCTGGAGTCACTTTCCCCTTTATGATGGTCTAGAGAAAGCATGAAAAGATATGTGGGAATTCCCATAACAGAGAACCATTGGTAATCTTTCAGGTAAGGGTGGCTTCTAGCAGATATCATGCAAAGGGTGCCAGGCCACAATTAGTGCTGAACACATCCATACACAACCACAGGGTACTCAATCTTTCCAATCAGTCCATAAGCATGGAGAAAGGCTCTTCCTCAGTTGAATGATACCACAGGCGTGATCATCACCAAGATGATCTTCACTATGTGATCCTGAAACTCTCACACTAAATATAATATGTTTTTTTATTCAATTATAATGACTCCAAAGGCAGGCTCACTCTACTATTAAGTAATATTATCTACTATGTACTACTATAAGTAGTTCAATCTACTATTACTTCATGATCTAAAAGTCTGTTAAAACTTTCCTGAAGTTATGTTTTCTTCAGTTAAACTTGTTATATACAAACATTAGTAACATTAATGTTGAGATATTGGTTATATAGGAATTGTGGCAATTATGATTTTACTTACATGTGCCATTTAATATTTATCCAAAGTTGTAGATAACACTGTATTTAGTAGTGAGCTGTTCAGCAGGACAACTATTTCTTGATTAGTTAAAAAAAATGGGTTCACATAAATGATGTGGTTATTTTTGTATGGCATGTATGTTTGAAGAAGTTGATGTAAGAAAGGAATCATTATTTTTCATACAAAACACATCCAAAAGGTAGAAGTCACTTTGGAAATCAAATGATTGAACTAATAACTAGGATTGCATTTAACAATGTAGTTTATTAAATCAACAGAGAAACAAATTCACCATGAAAATCATCAAGGCTCATGTTCTGATAGCATCACTCTGATGTGAACAGCAGTGGCAGGTATAAGGCGAGTTTCACCTCTTCCTCCTTTACAAGGAAATGGTTGGGAGTTGGGAGGTCCCATGAAGGTCAACAGCAGACCACAAACAGCCTTCCATTGCAGGATCACCATCCTCCAAGTGTGAGGCTCAGAGTGTGCTGAATCAGAATTAAGGAGTCAGGATGACATAGGTAGGGAGAGTGAGGGTCTTCCATCTCATCTTCAATAGTAGTAGCCAAAGCCAGAGCCATAGCCTGAGCCATAGCCATAGCCACAGCCACAGAGAGAACGGGAGCCATAGCCATAGCCACAGCCATAGCCACAGCCCAGTCTGCCATAGCCACAGCCATAGCCACAGCCATAGCCACAGCCCAGGCCTCCGTAGCCATAGCCCAGGCCTCCATAGCCACAGCAGCCATAGCCGCGGCCGCCATAGTAGTTTCCGTAGTAGCCACACATGGTGCTGGTGGTTGAGTTGTCTTTGGGTGGAGGAGTGTAGATGTTTTGGGTCTGTTCAGTGGGCCTTTTATACGTGCTCAGTGTGGGTGGAACCCACAATTTGAGTGCCTGCCATTGGCTAATATGATAATAAATGTGCTATAAAAAGATGCCTGAAGACATTAAAGAAGCTGGCTTTCAGAAATCACAACAGCCTTTAATGAAGTTGTACAGTCATACACAGAAAGCTGTCAATTATATCATGTTTTTTGTTTACAGTTTCCAAACAAGTTATCATGTCAACTTGGAGCACTTCCAGTATTTTAAATCACAAATTACTTTTCTCTTGATCTTCTACAATTATCATCCCTCATTTCATAGTTTTTAAAACTTGTTCAAAGTCCAGAGCCAAACTATAGAGGGTTGGGTGGTTTTTCAACTGTGATAAGATTAAAGCATCCAAATTAACTCAGCAAATGCCATTTTCTCCATTCTCAGAAACAGGAGGACAGCAAATGTTAATTTCAGTTTTGATAACAAGTTCAAGTAAGAACAGTTCACATTAATATAGTGATAGTGAGAAATGTTCTAGTCAAACTTTCCATTTTATGTGTGTGCCATCGTGGGTATTCTTTGGTAAGTAAAATATACAAATATACTTTTATATAAAATAAGTCTGTAATTCTTTTCCATTTAAGAATTAAGAAACGACAATACCCTGAACTTGTGAAGATTCAACAAATCAGCCCATCCAGCAACAGATACTCTTTTGATGAGTTAATTCAAAAGGCATACATCCTCTAAGTTCAAGGATTTACTATATTGAAGCACATCCCCTGATTAAAGTGCATTAGTTTTTTAAGTAATACCATAAATGCATAATTTCATCAAACTTTAAATGGCTTTGAAAAAATGTTTATTTTGCAACATGTTAATGATGCCAGAAATAATGGGTTACACAGCAGGGGGACCACTGTGGATAACAGTCAAGTAAGGAGAAAACCTCAAAAAGCCTTGGTGTTGTACACATAAATTGACATGAAGAATTGAATTCCTTTGAACAACTATTAAAAATACTAAAATTAAAATTTAAGAAACAGGGGCTGGGAAGGTGGCTCAGTGGTAGAGAGCTTGCCTTGCATGCCTGAGGCCCTGGGTTCGATTCCTCAGTACCACATAAGCAAAAAGAAAAAAGTCAGAAGTGGTGCTGTGGCTCAAGTGGTAGAGCGCTAGCCTTGAGCTGAGGAGCTGAGGGACAGCGCCCAGGCCCAGAGTTCAGGCTCCACGACCGGACCCCCCCCCCCCAAAAAAAAAAAAAAGAAACAAACCAAACAAAAACAACATGTCTGAAATAATTTTCCTTTTCCCCAATCTGTGATGATTGGCATATGCTAATATACATCATAGGGTTTTGTGCATGTATGTGTATGGTCTATGTGTGTGTATGTGTATATGTGTGTGTGTGTGTGTGTGTGTATATATGTGTGTTACTAGGGTTTGAACTTAGGGCCTCTCATGCTAGCTCCTTTGGTTGGTTGGCTGATGGTGTACCATTTAGGTCATGCTTCCACTCTGACTTCTTCTTTGTTATTTTTGGGATGGATTCTCATAGATTCAACATTTGGAGTAGATAGGGTTAAGATATTTGCATGTCTACACCAACAGAAATATTTGATAAGCTACATAACAACCTCCTCTCAAAGAATCTCCTTACTGTTGTGGAAAACAATGACTTTATAGTGAACTTGGTGAAGACAAATGCACTAAATTTAGCATTATCAGCTCTCTACTATCATTGGCCTCATAATAAAATGCACTCAATGCCACTCTAGTAATATGTCAAAAGTACATAAGCCAAAGCTATTCATAAAGAAACAACAGGCAAACATGTTTGGGAACATTCCGACAATCTGAATGTACTCTGCAAAAAATCTTTCCAGGTCATATAATTTAATAAAAGGCTGAGGAACTACATAGCTGTTTCCTGACATCAGTTGTATGACTTACACAAAAAAACTCAGCTCAGGGTGGGAGGGAGGGGGGAGGCTGGGAAGGGAGGTGAAGGGTAAACAAAGGAGGAGGATGCAATGCTTGGTAAGAAATGTATGCATTATCCTGCCCATGTAATTGTAACCCCTCTGTACAGTATGTTCTCAAATAAAATAAAATAAAATTTAAAAAAAAAAAAAAAACTCAGCTCATTCTTTTTGTATATTTTTTATTATCTTTAAGTAGCTGTACAAAGGAGTTGCCATTTAACAAAGCAATTTATGAATACAAAGTATCTGGATCAGTGTCACCCCTTTCAATATTCTCACCCTTCCACAGTACAATTTCTTTTCCCCCAACTTCACAAACTACCTTCCTTTGTTGGACTGGATAGAATTGACCTTAAAAATCTTAGCATCCTAGGGGGCTGTGTGTTGGTCTTTATTATAAACTCTATCAAAGGAAGGTTTTTTTCCCCCTAGAACACACTCAATACCAGGGATCTAAATGCCTTGGATACTCCAAACAATCCCAATTTTAACCTTCAAGCCTGAAGTCTTGCATCTGTGTCCCAAGGACACCTTGACTTGTTTATTGACATCACAACAACTTGGCTTATCCAACTCCAATTTCATCTTTTATTGCCATCTACCATGCAAGGTCCCATTGTTTTGCAGCGCCTCAAATACGTCATGTCTATTGATCTTGATAAGGCACCGTCTTTCTACTCAGTTTGCCTATTAAATTATCATCAGAAATGGTTGGTTCCACCTTCTATTTAAACTGAAATAGAACTTCCATGACTGCTCTTAGTTAATCTGCCCCTAATAACTTGTTAAAGTTAGTGTTACTTACTGAGTTTTATTATTCTTGCAGAATTACCCACTATTAGAAATCTATCCAGTTTTTCATTTTAAAAACCTGTCTCCTCTCCTTCACTATTTGAATTATAACCCTACAGATTAGACCCTACCTTTTTTATTCATCTGTTCCATCATTACTCCATCATTATTTTTTATTTTACTTTTTTTATTAATAAGTTTTTTTATTGTGAAAATACCATACAGAGACATGGGCAAGGTAATGAGTACATTTCTTATCAAGCATTTTTGTCTCCTCCTTTGTTTCCCCTTACCATCCCTTCCTATTTTCCCCTTTGCCCCTCCCCCAAAAGTTATAAAGTTCGTTTTTCGACATAACGTCTTGTACATCTCATTGTTGCAATGTATCCCTATTTTAAAAATTTGTTTTTTCCCTTCCCCTCCCCAAATTATCCAACATCAAATACAGTGAAAATGAAGGTTATACCATGGGGGAGGGACATATAAAGCAACAGAGAAATCATCTTATAAATATGATAGAAACAATAACAAGAAAGAAAAACCATTAGAGTCCTTATCTTGGGGTTAATTTCGCCTAACATCAACTTATCTGACCGTTTCTGCTTGTCTCAGATGTACACTTGACCCAGCAATCCCACTTTTGGGCATTTATCCGAATGATCACAAATAAGACCATACTAAAGCTACCAACACAACTATGTTTATTGCAGCATTATTTACCATAGCTAAGATGTGGAACCAACCCTGATGCCCCTCAGTAGATGAATGGATCAAGAAAATGTGGTATATTTACACAATGGAATTCTATGCCTCCATCAAAAATAATGACATTGCCCCATTTGTTAGGAAATGGGAAGACATGGAAAACATTATATTAAGTGAAGTAAGCCAGGCCCAAAGAAACATAGGTCCCATGGTTTCCATTATTGTTTTTTTATAAGCAGTAATGTCACAAGAGGTTTTAAGTAAATATCTGACTCACAAGTAAAAAGTAAATAAGACTATACTATAGTATAGTCTTCTGTATTTTATAAAATAAGCCACACTTACTATTAAGCCATAGTGTTTGGAGGTACATTCATACACTCTGAGACCTTGAATTGTATGAAAGCTGTAAACTAAATTATTACTTTAATTTTTTCTAGTTTCTAAACCCAAATCATTTAGATTATTAAAAGGCGGTGTGTAATTCTTTCCCTCTCTCTGTCTATCTGTCCCTTCCTCCTTCTCTCTCGATATATGTTCTATTTGTTTTATTGATATAATTGATATAATTATTACTGTTCAGAATTTGGAATCATGGTTTTTAAAGTTGATGCATTAAAGTCATTAATTTAAAATATATGGATACTTATTAAATCCTGAGAGGAGAAAAACCACGAATTTTGAAACAATGGGTTAATGTTCAGTGACAAAGTGTAAAAATCATTTAGGAGGTAAGAGGTAATTGTAGATAAAGTGAATAGACTCATTCCGGTTTTCGGTGGCTCACACCTGAAATCCTAGCTACTCAGGAGGCAGGGATCTGAGGATCACGGTTCAAAGCCAGCCTGGGCAGGAAAGTCCATGAAATACTTATCTCCGGTAAACCACCAGAAAACTGAAAGTGTCACTGTAGCTCAAGTGGTAGAGTGCTTACCTTAAGCTGAACTGCTGAGGGACAGTGCCCAGGCCTAGAGTTCAAGCCCTAGACCAATAACAACAACAAAAAGTGTAGAGACTCAGGAAAATCATAAAGACTGTGAGAAAAGCAGAATTTGATAGTAGAGATTTGGAAGCCATAAACATAATAGAGAAATGAGAAAAATATGAGTAAAGCTTAAGCATGAAATATGTTTACAACGATCTTTTAAATATTTTTTCCTGAGTGATCAGACATCTCAGACTATTTCTCTGTGCAAAGTCATCTTGGTTTGGCACAAATTTCTAGTAGAACAATTTCTCATTTATTAAAATGATTTAATTAACATAGATGTAGTAATACATACAAAATATGGGTGGTTCGGGAGGTAATAGTTGCTCTTTAACAATATAAACTAATCATAAACTAATGATTTTTATTCCTATAGAATAGGCAAAAGATTGAATCAAAAATAAAATATGCACACATATATTCAAGAAAGTTCAGATATTTTTGCCTACTTATTTCTCCACCCTTCCCAAATCCCCTAAGTGATCACATGAGAACTGGTCATCAATTTTAAGTTTAGGATTTTAAGTAAACAAAAGGTCACAGCATAGAGAAATACTTGTCTCCTCAAAGCTCGTGGTCTCAGTCGTAGGCATTTCTGACTCAGTGAGGATTTTGTCTTGGGCACATGACTGGGACATTTCTGAGGGTTTATTTATTTGAAAGAATGAGTTCAAAACACACTGTGGTTTGCCTCTCCTGGCACCTAGGCACTATAAAAGGATCTGCACAGGACGGGAGACTCAGAATCCAGAATCCATCTACCTCAACTCAACCTCCCATTCCTGACACCATGTGCTACTACGGAAGCTACTATGGCGGCCTGGGCTACGGCTATGGTGGCCTGGGCTATGGCTATGGCTGCGGCTATGGCTCTGGATATGGCAGATATACCTGCTATCGCCCATGCTGCTATGGAAGATACTGGTCTTTTGGCTACTAAAAACAACTTCTGATTGCTACTAATTTGGGCCCCTTTTCTTAAGAAGTATCAGAGTACCACCAGGGCTATTTATGTATGGTTGCTGTCTCTTTGAACAAATCTGACAATTGATTGCCATAGATCATACATAACTATATTGATGGGTAGAATATATCACCCAGGAGGGGCACTTTAGGGGAATAATCCTTCAATCTTTGGTTACTATCATGTTTTACCTCACATTGAAAACTTGCCTGTGGGAAATTCTATCATCTTGCTTTCTAATAAACCTAATCATTGTCACATTGTATGTTGCTTGTCATATGTATTTATTTTTCTCCATCATTTGAGTGTAGTTTCAGGAGTGTGTATGTGTGTGTGTGTGTGTGTGTGTGTGTGTGTGTGTGCGTGTGTGTATACACAAGAGAGAGAAAGACAGAGAGAGGAAAGGAGACAGAGACTGAGCAGACATAGAGAACAGCTGCTATCTTCTGGGCTGTTAGTTAATGGTATAACAAAATGGGCATGGCAAGACATGTTATTTTTCAGAGAGTCTCTGGTAAAAGAATGTTCATGTGGTGTTTTTAGAACTTCTATGAACCTAGTACTGGTGTCTCATACCTGTAATTGTAGCTACTAAGAAGGCTGAGATCTGAGGATTAAAGTTTGAAGCTAGTCTAGCCAGACAAATCTGAGAGACTCATCTCCAAGTAACCAGCAAAAAGCTAAAAGTGAAGCTGTGGCTCAAGTGGTAGAGTGTCAGCTTTGAAACAAAAAAAGAAGTTAAGGATGAGTAAGAGAACCTGGGTTCAAAACCCAGTGCAGGTACCAAAATATAGAAAATTAAAAAAGAACTGTTGTGAGCTACATTTATCTGAATCAATTTTTAGTTTTAGAAAGTTCTGTGTTGGACTCATGTAGCTGGTAAAATAGTAGCATCGTTGTCTATCAATATTGTTTTATTTTCCTGCAGTTTTTTTCTACATTCAAGGATTCTGCTTTTACATCATGTCTTCCAACTTTTCCTTCTAACTAATGAGTAAGAATTCTCTTTTGTCCTGCTTTGTTGTGTATATTATAGTCTTGTTTTTTATGGTAGCGATTCCCTCAGAATCTTGAGATGTCCATTTTTATGCTTTCCAAACACTTCCTTTGATTTTTGTGAATCTTTTCACAGCAACTTCAGATGTTGACGAATATTTCAAAGAGAAATGTGGTCTGTGTCGAGTTTCATGGCCCACAAGAATCTACAATACGTTTATTCTTTTTCTGAATCTCCAGCTCTGCTCTTTCTGGAACCTTAAATTCTTTGTTCCTAGTTTCTTCCATTGTACCTTGTTCACTTTTTCTAATACTTCAAAGTGAAATTCCAATCTGCCATGAATCATATTTTTTTTCTTATTTTCACTATGTTCTTTGAGTGGTACTTTGATTAGATTTCAATAATTATCTGATATGTTGTTTATTGTTAGGCTAATGTTACATGAAAATTAGAAATTTTGGAGGAGCTATAATGCTGAACTTACACATTTTAAAATTTAAACGACTATGGATATTTCCAAATATATAAATAAGACAACAATAAATGACAATTGTATACCTTTAGCCAAGTTTCAATACTTATAAGTATTTACTAATTTTTGTACTTATTTCTGTGTAGTTAGAAAAACTAATTTTTGTGTTTTGTTTACTTTCTTGGACGTAGCGTAAAAATAAATCAAGATCACAAGCTGTACTTCTCTATGTATTTAAGGTTTGCTAATTGCTCTTGTTCTCTTCTTTCCTTTGCTGGTAGTCTTAGGATTTGAACCCAGAGCCTTGTGTGTGTTGCACAAGGGCTCTTACACTTGAGCTACCAATCCTTTTTTTTTTTTTTTACTATTTTGTTTTTGTAATAACATCACTAATTTTGCCCAGGCTGACCTTGAACTTCAGACCCTCTTGCTTTTGTCTCCCGAGTAGGGGGCTTATAGGCATAGAACTCCACATCTAGTCATTCTTCTCTATTTTTGAACTCACTGACTTTTTATTCAGTAATGTTAAATTGGAGTTTAATATGACCATGTTAACCAGCCTTCATCACTGTGACCAAATACCTGACAAAAACAACTTCAAGGAAGAAATACTTTGTTGATTTGTAGTTCCAGAGGTTTCAGTCTATCTTCAGGTTTCAGTCTACGGTTGAGCCTAGTCACTGTCCATCAGCGACTCAGCTCAAGGCTAGCGCTCTACCACTTGAGCCACAGTGCCACTTCTGGCTTTTTTCTGCTTATGTGGTACTGAAGAATCAAACCCAGGGCCTCATGCATTCCAGGCAGGCACTCTACCACTGAGACAACTTTCCAACCCAAGACAGAACATCTTAACCAACATCTGGGCTATGAGAACCTGGGACAGAAGCAGCCATCCATGCTCTGGGAGCCAGGAAGAGTGATAGGCATGGAAAAGGGCCAAGAGCAAGGTAGATCTTTACTGGGAAGGCTTTTGTGACCTATTTACTACAACTAGACCCATCTGCTTTTCACTGCTTTTCAATATTGTCATCATATTATGACTCCATTAAAGTATTCCACTGGTTAGGTCAGATTCCTTCAGAATCCTCCCCATAACATCCCAAAGCCTCTCATCCCAAAACCATGGGCTTTGTGGAGGGACAGAAACTTCATACACAAATCATGACAATCATTTAAAATTAACTCGAAGTTGTTATACAAGGCAGTTTCAATTCAATGTGCCAGTTTATGAGTACAATGCAGCTTGATCAACGCCACCCCTTCATTATTCTTCCCATCTTTTTCAACGCTGTTCATCTCCTCTGTTTCCCTAGTTCCATTTTCACATATAACCATTAAACAATATGATGCATTTGCCCATGCTTCCTTTCTCCATTTGTCTACCTTTTGACCTCATTCCCTCTCAATGACATCAGAAGTTCCAACTAGTTCATTCGGTAAACTGCAGATTATTTGTTCCAAGGAGTTACATCGCTGGAATAATTTAGATTTAACTTCCACATATGAGAGAAAACATATGTCCTTAGTCTCTCTGATCCTGACTTTTTTCATTTAATGTATTTTTTCCAAATCCAACTATTTCTCTGCAAATGACATACTATGCACTGAATTTTTTTTATTTTTATTTTTTATTGTGAAAATACCATATAGAGGGGTTACAATTATATGGGCAAGATAATGAGTACATTTCTTATCAAGCATTATTGCCTCCTCCTTTGTTTCCTCTTCCTATCCCTTCCCATCTCCCCCACCCATCTTCCCACCCCTCTTTACCGCCCCCCCCCCACTGAATTTTTGACAGGTAATTTGTAAAATTTTATCTCCCACCAATTCTATAGTTTTCCAGTGTTGTTTACATCTTTGAGCATATTTAACATTCCATCTCTATCATTTCTGGGGGTGTCTAGGTTTATACTGATTAATTTCATTTCCTGGTGTGATAACTTTTTCCTGCTTTTTTCCCCTTTCATTTTATGACAGTGCCTTTCTTTGTAGTCTAAACTAGGCTAAAACTGTACTGTAAAAATGTAGCATAGGTTGTCCTTGAACTCATGATCCTTTTGTCTCAGCCTTCCAAATGCTTGGATTATAGGCCTTTTCCAGACTCCCAAGCTTCTTTGCTGCTTTCCTTGCCTAGTAATTCCCATATGACATTGTTAATAGTATGTTGTTTAGAAGTGAGATTGTACTCTCTTCATTCAAATAGTATGAAAGTCAGTTTGACCAGGAAACAATCTGTTGACCCTTGATTCTGTCATATTTGCTTGGCTCAATCTAACCTTTAGTGTCAGTTTGCCTCACTATTAAATTGCTACCTTTTGGAGGTTTAATTTAATAAAGTGTCTCTAGTCTGGCAGAAGGAGTTCAAATATCTCCCAACCCTGTTTGAGCTCTAAAAAGTATTTGTATTAATGATGTGTAGTTATTTTTTGCTCCTCCTGACAAAGTTTATTATTCCATCTGGTAACTTCAGGACCACTGAGTAGAGTCCTCTTCACAGTGGTCTTTAGTTTGTTTTTTTACTTTTGATTTAAAAAATTATAGCAAATATCTGAATTTTGATCCTTTTATCACAAACACAGTGTGATCATCATATCATATGTGGATTGTAATTCCCTGAAATACAGGCCTGAAAACTAAAGCTTTCAGTGTAAAGCTTTAATAATTTATATCTCTTGTTGGCATTGTGTTCATGAGCTACATGATACAAAATTATGAAAAGAATTATTTGACATAATGTATCCAGTTGAACATGATACAGTGGTGAGTCTATTATTTCTTACTCCAATATAGCTAAACGTGTGTTTCTTCTAGGTACTTTTGAGAAGAGTAAGATAGATTTCTATTTGGGGGCGGGGGAAGATTTTTTAATTCAACTAAGATGACTTATGTGTAAAATTGCTGAGATATTTTATAAAGAAAAATGTGATAGCTGATATTTACAGAGGTATGAATATGATTGATTTCTTTACTGATAGAGATGCAAATTTTAGAATAAGAAAGTGAGAGTCAAGAAGATGTTATACTCTTCATTGTTTCATAAATTCTTGCCTATATATAGTCAGCTCTGCCTGTAGGCTTGAACTCTGAATGAAGCCTAACTTCTAAGCATGTTCAGTACAGAAGCAGGGCTTATTCTCCATTGCTTAGGGTAATCAGTAGAAATAGTCTTGTAGCACGCAGTTGAGCCTGTGAGTTAAATGAGTTCATGTTCTAAAGAGAAGGCATTAGTGGGGCCCTCCTCATTACCATCTCTTCAAACAGATGTTGTGTGCCCTTGTAGACTTCCAATTTCAACTCCCTTCCTTCATTTGGTATTCTAATAAGCTTTTAAGAAATTCTTTAATAGAAAAAAAGTTAATCTGCAGGTGCTATATTGCCTTCTTCTGGAAGTTTTCTATCTCCTGTAGAAGGACAGTATGTGTCAGAGCAGCATGCTAATCGACAACAGAAAATGGTCACAGATGTTCTTCTGTTTAAATGAAACACAGAAACATGGTTCAACAT